GAGACACACACACACACACACACACACACATCTTTTAATTACTATTAAGAGGCTGACTACATAACTACTGTAGCACAGACTAAATGCTGGTGTAAATCCAATATCTGAGCAACCACAAGAATGCATACAGATTAAATTTAAGGGCATTGCCTCTCCAGGAAAACATACTGTAAATCACTCTGTGGCAATGGACACAGTCTTGCCTTTTTTAACCCTAAAGTACTATTTTCTCTGTTGTTTTCAAGGCAGCCAAACGATAAACAACTTTTATTGTGTTTTTTTTTTTCACAACATCACATAACGGGGCTTTAAAGGGTCCATACGGTGGCCGAGAAGTGCAGAACAAATCACAATTCTGAAAACAAAAGAACAAATTACAAACGCAAATGCAAGTCTAAAAAACTAAATAACAATTCAGAAAACACAACAACAATTCAGAAAACATTATAACAAGTCAGAAAACACAATGACAAATTCGAAAACAAAATAACAAGTCAGAAAACACAACAACAAATCTGAAAACAAATGAACAAGTCAGAAAACACAACGACAAATCAGACAAACCGGAAAAGGTAGGTATAGTTTGAGACAGCGCTATTGGTTTGGAATTACTCACCGCTGATTGGACGAGACATCTGTCAATTAACGTATACAGGAAGAACCAGCCGGAAGAACAGCAGAGTCGTGGTAGAAAGTTCGGAGATGGTATTAAAGTAGCTCAGTTTAAATGTATTGTATGAATTGCCCTTGCTATGGAATAAAAAATACGGGGTGTATATTTACATTTAGTAAAAAGTGGCTGGGAAACATCAGCTCCAGTGGCACAGATGGATAAGCGCGTGTCAGCGACTTTTTGACGCGATCGACCCGGATTCAATCCCGCCTTTTGCCGAGCTTTTTTTCTTCCCTTTTCAAATCTCGTATTAGCAATGGATTCTATTTACACTAAGTGAAAATAGCAGTATTTTTAGCAATATGCTATTTACACAAAGTGCAAATACCTAGTTACACAATGTTAAAATAGCAGGATTTCTACTATCAAGTATACTACTTGTTGCAAATAGTGGCAATTATCTGCACTTCAGTATTGTAGTACATTATAAAACAGTATGCAATAATAACGTATTGAGTGTAAATTTAAATTTAAATTTAAATTATTAAATGGATGCCACCTTATTGGTACAATAAAGCCCTCCCTACACCTACCCGATAATTTAATTATAAATGCCTTTACGATGTGATACGAGATTTGAAAAGGGAGGAAAAAAAAGTTCGGCAAAAGGTGGGATTGAACCCGGGTCGATCACGTCAAATAGCCAAGGCCACACACTTATTCATCTGCACCACTGGAGCTGATTATTTACAGCCACTTTTAACTAAATCTAAATAAACACCCCTTATTTTTTTATTCCAGATTAAGGGCAATTCATACAATACATTTAAACAGAGTTAATTTAATACCATCTCCGAATTTTCTACCACGACGCTGCTGTTCTTCGGCTGGTTCTTCCTGTATACGTTGATTGACAGATGTCTCATCCAGTCAGCGGTGAGTAGTACATCCCCTGACATTTTCACTTCTGTTTCAGTCGGAGCTTTCTTAAGCCCTTGGTCACTGTCTGGAACTTTAATTGTTGGAAGAGCAATCCCAAATTTTGGAAGCTTAAATTTGCCCTCTTGTTGCTTTTTATCATCTCCCTTAATGTTTATCTCAATGGATGGATCTTCTACTGTTGGCCCTTTCATTTCAACACTTGACATTTCTCCTGACATGTTAAACATCTTATCGGGAAGGCTTACTTCAGGAACTTTGATGTCCACATGTGCCGTAGGTATATCAACCGTATCCTTTGATGCTTTGGTTCCAAATTTTGGGAAACTGATTG